TCGACTTGTAAATAAATATCCCTCTAATTTTTTTGTTGATAAATGATTGTGAAACCCACAAACTACCTTCATACCCCTCTAATCATTGCTTGCCAATTTAAACTCATATAACTGAAATGAGCAATCACACTTCTTTGTTTATGTTTCCTTATACTGCATATTTTCAACATTTGTCTTATTCTTTTACTGCCTATATGTTCTACTACATTCACATGCGAATTTGATTCTAGCTTGTTGCCTAGACATCTTAAATCAGAGTTTTTAATCACTACTACAAAACCAATATCTTTTTCCATCTATCTTGCCCAATAAATCAATATTTTCCTATTACAAAATATCTACACAACAATTTGAATTGTCACATTTTGCATCTACATAAACTAATATTAAAAACAATTTTTTATGCCTTCGAATGTTTACTTCACAAACATAATCTTACATCTTTAATAGTAAATGAAGAACTATAATCATATTTGGCATTTAAATTCTTTAGTGATTCATTCCACTCTATCAGTGCATTTCTCAAATTATTTTGCTTGTTAATCAAACAAAATCAAAATTTTGAAAAAAAAAATTACTTTCAAGAAAAATGTTTTTAGATCATTGTGTTGTTTCTTCAAAAATGCATTTTCGGTACATTAAAAGAGTTTCTAAAAATGAATTTTTGATAACTTTTATTTACTTCTAGAAATCAATTTTGGGTAAATAGCTTACTTTTCCAAAAATGATTTTTTAGTAAATACTGAGTCATTTTGAATATGTAAAGCTAGCTACATTCACATATTTTTGAAAATTCATTTTCGATAAAGCCTATCCAAAAACATAATGATAATTTCATAAATTAATTTTCAAAAACTCAACATAGCTTCCGAAAAAGTATTTCAGGGAAGTTTGAATTTAGGGATAAAATCAACTTACCCGACCATCATCCCCTAATTCTTCATTGCTTCAGTTGTTTCTTTCAAATTCACTTTCCATTTTGGTAGTATACAAGATATTACAAATTTTGGTTCTAAATTTTGACAACAAATTGACTTTTTGCTAAGAAAAAGAAAAGTAAAATGCACCACCAGCTTTCTGGGATGGAAAAAAAGAGAAGAAAAAAAAGAAAAAGGTGTGAAAGACAAAAAGGTAATTGATTAATTGGTATTTAAGTAATTTTATTAAAAGTTAAATTTGTAATAAAATTTTTGGAATGTATTAAGTAGTTTTTAGAGTGCAAATAGAACCCTTAACTTTAAACATAATTAGTTCAATGTTTTTGATAACTTTTGAAAAGATAAAAATATCCTTATAAACTTTGACAAAATATTTAATTTTATTTTTAATAAAAACAATTAATATTATTTCCTTTATCTCCCTTAGTATCTACATGCCTTTCAATCAACAGGCTATTTAGATTGAATCGATCAACTTGATTATTTAAAAAATAAAATTAATAGAAAAAATTTTGTAAGTGAAATGACAGAAGAAAAAAAGAAAAAAAACTAAAAACAATAAAAATTTTAGCTTGAACAAAATATAAAAATATGATATATATATATATATATATAAAGATATCTCTTAATTCGATAATCATCTTGTGTTTTTTGAAATATAAATAGTAAAATTGATAGGAGTCCTTACACCGTCACAAAAAGTTGATTTCTTGAAAATTTACTCTTTTTAGGCTTTTTTTCTCTCTCTTCAATCTACGACAATAAAAGGGACGAAAAAATCTTAAAGGTCGAAGAGAACCAAAATTCCCACCAAAAAGCTATAAGATGTCACTTTCTTTTTTCAATTATGTCATAGTTTCACTCTTGTAGTTTTTTGGGTTTGGCTTCAATAAGGAAGGAATAATTAAGAAAAAAAAAGATAAAAGTCATAATAAGAACCAATGAAAAAAATTAAGAAAAAAATAAAATGAAGGAATAATTTTGATTTTCATAATGTCAAAGAAGTCATGAATAAATTTGAGACTGAAAATAAAATGTAAAAAGAAAAAAAAAAGTGGCATGGGTAAAGAAAGAGAATGTAATAGGATTAAAAATGACAATAAACGAATAAAGAGTATTTTGGGATTACAAATTTTTCTTTTAATAGTTGATTAAGCCCTTATTTGAATTTCATTGCATTTTTAGTGTGGTACGATTAAGCTTATTACATTATCAATTAAATTTAAATATCAATTTTAATAAGATCGATCAACATAAATTTTTTATTAATTTTTTTATCACAATTATAGTGATAATTTTTTAATCACAATTACATTAATTTTTTATTATTTTTAATTTTATTATAATTAATTTTATTATCCGTCCAAATGAAATCTAATGATGCACGAATCCACCGAAAAAAGCGGCATTTTGAAACAAGAGAGGGTCTTTATACTTTTGCATTATTTCCAGGAGGGTGTTGTGTATTTTAGCCTAAAATAAAAATTTGAGCTTAATTACCTGATATTATGCCCCAATGCTCACGAAAGAAGAAGCTGCCATTTACCCGTTGCCACGTCATCATAATACAACGAATTATTTGCAATAAAATTGGACACTTTTTAGGTCCATAAAGAGAGAGCGAGAGAGAGAAATAAAAAAAATAAAAAACGTTCCAAAAGTTGGCTTGGGTTGGGTTACTTCGGGGAATGAGAGACTTGCCAAGTGCCAGGCTTCCACGCAAACCCGGTTTCCATGGAAACGCCCTCAATGTTAGGATAATTTACGTAAGTGCCATTGACCTTTTATGAAATGAAACCGTGTCCTAGATAATTCCTAAAGCGCCCGCCCATGTTCGTCAAAATCTGTTGTTAACGGTTCCCTTATACAGTTCGCTTCCTACGACTCTATTATTAGCAACTACACATTTTCTTTACAATAATCAAATTATTACACAATCACGTGCTTTTGCTAATGAATATTATCATTTTTTATTAATTTATTTTTTTATAATTTTGAAATTTGACTTGAAATTTGAAATGAAAGTGAATTTCGAAATTTTAATTAATTAATCATAATAAAAAATTAAATACATGACAAGCGAAATTGAGAATCTAACTTACTAACTGATTTCAAATTAACTCAATTTATACATAGTATTATATAATAAATCTAATTTTTAAAAAATTGGATGTTAATTTCTTGGAAAAAATTGGATATTAATTCTATTTTTTTTTATTTTATGAAGGAACAATTTAAAGATTTGTTAAATTTTGATATATTTTTCCATTGAAAGATATTATTAATTATAATCCGATCAATGTTAACAATGATTCTTTAGATAAAACAATATAAATTATATGTGGAAGTGAAATTTTGTGGATGGATCATTTTGTGGTTCGCAAATATGTAATCAGTAGTTGTATTAATTCATTGAAGTTGGATGATGTAATGGGCCACGTACCATGTAAGGTTGAAGGTGTTGTTATTTGACCGAACGTGAGTTTTTATAATTTATTATTATCTATACTAATACATTAATATAAAAAGGTTTTATTGAATTTGATTTTATGAGTCAAGAGATAACAATTCAGTTAAAAAATTGATAAAAAAATAAAAAATATATAAGTATTATCGAGGTTGAAATAATAATTTAATTTTCTTTCAAAATAGAAAAAATTCAATCTTAAAATCTATTCCTTATTTTTTTTATTATAAAAATTTATACACGTTCAACGCCATTAATAAAATTACTAAAAGAGTTAGATAAAATATTAACAATAAATAAATAATAAAAAATATTTTGTCTTTGAATAATTTTTATCAAAACCATAACTCTTTAAAAAAAAAAAAAAACTACCCATATTTTATAAAGAAAACTGCCCATATATATAAACATATATTTAAAAAAAAAAAAAAAAAAAACCCACATGGTGGATGTACCATATTCTAATGTGTTATTGCAAGTTTGCAGGTTTGCTCGCATCGTAGATCTTGACTATTATCCTGCAAAATTGTCAAAAACGACTGTGGAGTATAATATTTATTTATTTGGTTTTCATTTGGGAACGTCCTGCCTTTTCGTTTATATATATATATATATATAGACGTTGATGTAGACAAAGAAAGCTATAAATTTTTAAAATGTTTGTAAAGATTGTTGATATTAATTTGTCATACAAATTTTTTTTTATATTAAGAGCATAAAATTTTAATATAAGTAAAAAAAAAAAAATTTAACTCAAAATCAGATCTTTTATATTTTTTTAAACGTTTTTAACTATTAAATTAAAAGTTTGAAACAGTCACATAAATTTTTTTGATTAAGAATGTTCATAAATTAAAATGTGTATATATCGTAAGTAAGGCCGTAATTAATATATTTTGGTGGTAAAAGGAAAATTCATTAATGCAAGGATAGATGCATGGGTAGACCACCACCATATATTAGCTTCTGCAGCGAGGCTAGGATAATGGGGATTAAAACCACCGATATGCAAGGGGTTGGAGGATTAATTTTTTATTTATTGTTTCAAAATAAATTAAAAAAAAGGAGGATTATTGAAAGATAACGAAAAATTAAAATTTTATTATTATATAATGTTATTAAAAGATGAAGGTCCAATAAGAAGTGACGTAAAAAAATGAGCTTGGACAAATTAACTACTCCTTAATTAAAATAAAGTTTTCCCACGTTCAACCATTCTTTGAATAAATATATAGTTTGTAAAATTCAAAGCCTTCTCCACATCAGAATAAAGATATATGGTTTTTTTTTATAATTTGACGTATCTAAAATATCGTATTGACTGCCAAAATATATAGTTCAGAATATGTTCGCAATTGACTCTAGCTCCTAATCAGAGTCGCACTCGCTTGGTTTGTAACTGAGCAGTCAGTCTAGTGACCCACACGGCGGGCCACACGTTGTGAGCGACCGAAGGCTACTTTCGTCAGCAACCGCCAAGAATTTTTACGCCTCTTGTAAGATTTTCCCGAGTGGCAATCCTGTAGATAGAACCAAATTCCAAGGGTACTTACTGGTAAATTTATCACTTTCATAACTATATATGTGTCACCAACAAATTAGAATAATTGGTATTAAAAACCATCATTTTTGGAGCGAGATGCACATCGGTCTGTCTGACCCATGTTGAAGAAGAATCAAAAAGAGGGCAAAACCAGACCCAAAGATGATAATTGTTGACTTAAGGTATGCCAACACCTATCTTGTATCTACTCATCTATTAATCATTACAATCCCTTTTTTCTCCTGTTTTTGGTTTCCTGGGTGGGGTGCTCGTCACTGATGACAAGTTGTAGAATTGGATCATTATTCTTTGAGTTCAGTACGAGGTTTCTGTTGGGTTTTTATGTTCCTAATTCATGAATTTGGGGAGAAGGGTTAGCGCTAAAATTAGTCAAAATGATTTTGTTTGTGTGTGTTTCTGATGTTATCAACAACCTTTTTGTTTGGTAGGTGTTGATGTAGAAAATAAAAGTATGGCCTTTTATTAGATAGGAAGAAACTTTGTTCTTTGCTTGAGCTTGGCAAGTATTAAAAAAAAGAATCTTTTGTTTCTATTTTTCTATTAGCTACTAAATAGATATAACTTTCAAGTTGTTTGCTATCCTACAGATTTAAATGAATTATGAATCTGGAAGCTGATTTATTTTTATTTTTTGGTCTACTGTATGCTAAATATTATTCCTTGCCATCTGGTATTGATTTCTCTATCTTCCTCCCTTTTTCTTTCCTAATTCCCTTTTGGTTTGATTGTTAGCTTTTGTCCTTTTAGCCTCTTTTACTTTCCTTATATGATTTTAATTGGACACAGATTTAAATTAGTATCAAAAGTGAGTATGTGAATTTTGAGGCTTCCTATGTATAATAAATTGTTCTAATTGCATCTTTGTATAGAAATTCTGGTTGCCTTGTTACCAATCATCTAATCTTAGGCTTCTATCTATTATCTATTATTTCCCTTGATTATGGTTTTAGTTGCTGTCTTGCACTTGGGTGATTAACTCCTGATTCAAAAGAAAGTTGCTTAGGGGAAAACTTTCTCTTAAGTCCCTTCTCCATGTAGGCTCCTTTGCGTATTGCTTGTTTTTACTCTGACTTTTTACACCGCTTGAGGGTGTACAATAGGCTTCCATTAGTTGCATAATCTAATCACTTTTATTTTCTTGTACTTTTATTAGCAGATTGTGATTGTTCTTCGATATTTCTGCCTTGCATGACTAAAGCGGTTGATGGCCAACAATGATGCTGGGGATCAAATCAGTTTTATCCACATATGAAGACTTACATAATCTAATCTCTTTTCACTTAACGATTGATTTTGCTGAATCAAGACATTGCTGTTATTAGACAAAAGGCGTTACTATTATTGCCAAATTCTGTTGTCACAGAAAACATCTGTCAGGAACAAAAAGTTTTCCAGAGGAAGTTAATAAGCAGGTTGGGCTTAGATGCGAACATCTCAGAAACACCACAGGTCGAATGATCAACCTGTTAAGGAAATTGATCCATTTTGTTTGCCTCATATCCAGATATTAGACAACAATGTGTGCTCAGATATTTGCAGCCAAGGAACCAGTGTCTCCTTTCAAACCTACAAGGACCAAATTTTTACCCTGGAATCATCCACAGCAACTGCTGGTTTTGTTGCCTATGATTCCCCTTCGGCTGTAAGCATCTCATCAAGCAGGAGTCCTTTCTCCCCACAAGGTTCTCAATCATGCCTATCTGATCCTCATCATTCGCCTGACAATACTTATGGATCACCATTTAGTGGATCTTCTGTTGTTGATGATAGCAATGAATTGAAGCACAAGCTGCGGGAGTTGGAAATTTCCTTGTTGGGGCCTGAATCAGATATCATAGACAGCTGCAATTGCTGCTTCACTAGTGGCGCCCACCAAGCTGCTTCGATGGCTAGCTTGAATTTCAATCAACTGGTGGACGTGATCCCTAGATTAGACTTGAAACAGGTGCTCATTGCCTGTGGTCAAGCACTTAATGACGATGATATGTCAACAGTGGCTGGTTTAATGCATGTATTGGAGAAAATGGTTTCAGTGTCTGGGGAACCAATCCAACGATTGGGTGCATATGTGCTGGAAGGGCTTAGAGCAAGGTTGGAATCCTCTGGAAGTAATATCTACAAAGCCTTAAAATGCAAAGAACCAACAAGCACAGAATTAATGTCTTACATGCATATTCTCTTCAGGATCTGCCCATACTGGAAGTTTGCATACACATCAGCTAATGTTGTTATCAAGGAAGTCATGGAATATGAACCAAAAATTCACATCATTGATTTCCAAATAGCACAGGGTACCCAGTGGATGTACCTTATTGCAGCTCTTGCAAAACGCCCTGGTGGGCCCCCGTCTATCCGCATAACTGGTGTCGATGATTCTCAGTCAAATCATGCTCGAGGTGGGGGACTTAATATTGTGAGGCAGAAGCTATCAGAATTTGCTGCATCGTACAATGTGCCATTTGAGTTTCATGATGCTGCTATGTCTGGTTGTGAGATTCAACTAGAGCATCTTAAGGTTCGACCTGGGGAAGCCCTAGCTGTGAATTTTCCATATGTATTGCATCACATGCCAGATGAGAGTGTAAGCACCTGGAATCACAGAGATCGATTGTTGAGGTTGGTAAAGAGTTTGTCACCTAAGATTGTGACTCTTGCTGAGCAAGAGTCTAATACCAACACATCTCCATTCTTTTCAAGGTACCTTGAGACACTGGATTATTACACTGCTATGTTTGAATCCATAGATGTAGCTTGTCCAAGAGACGACAAGCAAAGGATCAGTGCTGAACAGCACTGTGTGGCTCGTGATATTGTGAATATGATTGCTTGTGAGGGGCCTGAGAGGGTGGAAAGGCATGAACTTCTTGGAAAGTGGAGGTGTAGATTTATGATGGCTGATTTTTCTCCATATCCATTGAGTTCCTCAGTTACTATGGCTGTAAGAGATCTGTTGAAGGAGTATGACAATAACTATAGACTTGAGGATAGAGATGGTGCTCTCTATCTTGGCTGGGTACACAGAGCTATGGCGACCTCTTCCGCATGGAGGTGAAATCCTGATACGAATAGTGATTGCTCCATGAATTCTGCCCAAATATTTTTTTTTTGGTTTTCTCTTTTAGAGCATGAGCCTTTAGTGTTTTGTAAATTTATAGAATATGAGCTTAGTTTTCTTTTGATAGCATTAGTCGAGGGACTTGAATTGCAAAATTTCAGTGTATATCTCCATTCAACATCTCGGAATGAAACGAGGATGGGGTTTGAGTTCCATACCAGCTCATATCTTCTATCGCTCTCGCTTCTGTACATCAATTAATTTTCGACTTCAATTGTGTTCACCACCACCTCTCCTTACCTTAAAACACGACTAACATCTGCTTTGAGTCATCAATTTCCAATCGCACCCTTCCATTTAAGGGATAAGACGCTTATTCCCGCTGCCTCTTTCAACAAATTCAAGAGTGACAAAATGGTAAAGGGAATTTCATCCGGAAACTTATCAATCAAATTTCAATTCATCCACTAAACAAATTCAGCGTGCTGCTATACTGTCCTTTTAAATCAGAGATTACCATTGTGCATTTGGCGATGCATATGGTAAGATAGCTTCTTGAATAACACCAGGAAAAAGAAAAGTTACCCATTGTGCTAAGTTAGGCCATGACTGCACCATAATGCCTTCTTTCTTTGGTATTTTGGGAATCTTTCCTTTATTTATTTACTTTTTTTACAAAGCTTATTCAAGGTTTTGTGCAAGCAGCAAATTTTATTTTATTTTATTTTGAAGAAAAAAGATCGATGGCAATTATAATTCAGAAATTTATAAATTTAGGAGGGATTCTTCACACTAATGGTCTACAGAACTGAATTTTAAGCAAAATCATTTACCGCACTGCGTTTCATTGTTCTCCACGAAGTCTCAAACATGAACAACGACACAACTTTTTACCAAGAGAACTAAACTGAGAAACAATAATAGATACTAGTACCAATTGAGATGAAAAAATAAAGTGAGGGAGGTAGATGGGTACGATGGAAACCAGAATCAAGATGCATTCATGGAGTGGTAAAAATAAGGAAGAACAGGAGATCAAAACCCATGAACGTAGTAAAACATTGGAAAACAGATAGCAATATATATGCAGAGCTCCCAGCGACCATCGAACTTTAAGACCTTTCGCTTATGAAGCAAACGCGCTACCACCATGCTATGGAAGCAGACAACATGAGTCTAAACGAATTTCTCAGTTCTAATTATGATATTTCTATTCTTTCAGTACATTTATAATAAATCCTAAACATACTACTAATATGTATGTAAATTTGCAATGCAAGCCGAAATAATAATTAATTGAACTAAAAGCATGTGACTTAATCGCTTTCTCAAATTGAATTCAAGTTAAATAAAGAAAATCAAATTCCATCAAATTCAGCTTTTAGCTTTGAGGTTCTTTAATCGAGTATGAAGTTGACGCCATCCAATTATATCTGAGGTGGAGTGCAGAGACATTATTACATTTACTCAAGTCTCAAATGCCATTATCGCTTCACCACTATCGTTTCCATTTTCCACTAGCAATCGCCAAAGACAGCAAACTATGAGCTAAAAGCATGCGCAACAACCATTCAGTCTAGGCCGGGGAGGTATGTTTCCTCGATGAGGTCTTGGCAGTAGCAACTTAGCTAAAAACTGGGCATCCACAAGGAAGTCTATTTTTCTACAGGTTCAATGAGTTTGGAATGCATGAAGTACCATAGGCAAATGGAGGCAAGGAATGAAACTTGAAAACTAATCAATTTTTATGTAACGATGTTCCACTTGTAGAGGCATTCCATGTAAGGGGAAATGGAAAGGGTTATCATAAGCCAATATTCTGCAAGCTTTTCTAGTCATTCGAAAGTAATTCAATGCACTTCATTTTGCTCTCTCAGATCCCTCATTTTCCCCCTTGCAGTCTTCTCCATCTACTTCTTGACAGTTTTCTGAATCGGCTTCGGATCTTTTCCTCTGAGTTATCACTTGAAAGAAGGAGGCTTTCCAATCTCGTCTCCAAGAATTTGAGTAGTATCTCTATAACTTGGTTTACAGTAATGACCTGCACTCATTCGAATGAAATCTTAGTTAGAGAAGAAAACTTGGAAATGCAGAGAATATTCGCTTCACTATTTGCTTCTTCTGAAAATTAACCTGTTGCGGGAGTAAACTATAATGCATGACAAATCATATATATTCCATTCACTGCATCGTAGCATTCTTTGAAAGAAAGTAGTAACATGCAATTATGAAGCTATTAACACTCGATAAATTGTACAGTCTGCAGTATTCATCCGCAAGAGACTTTAGTAGATAGACTAAGTGATGCCTTTTGCTTGCAACTAATGAAGTATGCCTTTCAATCCAATGCATCAAATCAAAGGCCAGGAGCAGGGTTTCGAACATATAAATTGCATGAAAAATCGAAATAACAGTAAACCAACAATGATACCAACGGTTTCATCTGAAAGAGGTAAAAAAGAAATAAAAAATGAAAAAGACCTACTTTGATTTACCGGAAAATATCAAACGATGGAATAAAGTAAAGCCGTGTAGTGTGCCGTGACCAACCATACCCGAGAACTGGACATCTTCAAGTTCCAAAGGGAAGTTTTGCTGCATGAATTCCTTGCTCCTCTGCTTTCTTCATAGTTGTACCTTTCCACCTATTTCTATCTGCCGACATTGTAAACTTTGGTAGGATCAAGTCCACGTAGCACAGTTTCAGAATCTGCTGTAAGGTACACCAAATTATCCTTCTGATCTGAAAACGCTTAGATACATCATTGATTTTCCTTCTCAATAATCCATTTAACCCAGGGAGCCTTTGTAATTGAGTTTCCATTTCCCCTTAGCATCCAGTCAACCAGAGGCGAGCAGGAATACTAAATCTTCCATTCACTGCATATCAGTGCATAATCTGCAGGGTTCAGCAACAAGAAAAGAACATCTTTAATCATTGGCTAAGTGATGTGGACATTATCCACCTTAAAGGGCAACATTTGAATGGTACTTTTATCTTTTCGCCAAACATGACATTTCCGCAAAATTATTGAAAGCAGACCTTACATGACCAGATCATCAGTGGAATCGCTCAGCTGATATTATCAGACTCCCTTTTTTTTTCTTGGATTCTTCGACTCATTTTGATTAGTCTGATCGAATTTCATAAAAGATAAATTCTTTTAATATTTATTTTTTTCATTTATAAAATTTAAAATCAAAATTTTATTAAAAATAAATCGAACTCTTTAATCACTCAATCAATGGACGTGCGATGATATTAGACTTTCATTATTTATTACTGACATGAATCTCTCTAGCTACTTATGTATCCCCAAGTGGGCGTGCTGACGTGCTGGACAGTTATCCATGCACCTAAGCCACGTCAGCATCATCCTCGCCAAGTAAGACATTGCAGTCAAAAAATTTGATAATATAAAAAAAAATTAACTTTGAAGCATAAAAACATTATTTTAAAAGTAATTATAATTATAAGATACAATAATCTTAAATTCTTCAAATCAAAATTAATGAAATTAATAATATTAAAAAAATTATTTAAAATAAATTAACAATCATAAATTTTTATTTAAATGATTATGATAATAATTTTTTATTTGAATAATTATTAAATAATTATAAATTTTTTGTTTTATCATAAAAATTAATTTTTATTTATTTAGAATAAATAAATATGTACTAATTTAAAATATTTTAAAAATTAAAAAATAAATTTATTTATCAAGTAAATCAAATGTTTAATTGCTTAATTTTTTATTTCTTAAAAGCTTTTTTACTCGTTAAAAAAAATTTTAATAAACTCAAATGACTTAAATGACTTTAATATTTAATTCAACTACTTAAATCACATAATTAGTATCTATTAAATTACAAGTCAAAATGTGCCACAGATTTTTGTATTTTTAAATTTTGAAAATTTAATTCCTTTAGTTTAAATAAAAAAAAAGTTTATTTTTTGTATTATTATGATTTAAAATTTTTAATTTAATTATTAAATTAAATTTTATCTATTTAAATGATTGACGTGATTGTTGACATAATATTTTTATTGATTTTTATTATTTTCCGTGCTTTAGGGAATTAAAATACTGACCTATAGCCTACCTTTAGATTTTCTCTATCGTCACCTGTTTTCTCCACTTTCTCTCTAACCGGATGAATGCCGGCTAGAATCTTTGAACTTAACCCAGTTTCTGGTGAAGCGCCGCCACCCCGGCCATCGTGCGCCACCAACGGTCACGGCTCCTCGGTGTCGAAATTTCCCTTAACTCTTTCTCCCAATTCCTCTCTGTTTCTTCTTTGACGTGGTGCTGTTGGTTTTTCACAAAAGTGTTCCGAACTCTATATATCGGGCTTTGAACTCCGCGGGCTCAACACCCAAAGTCTCTTCCTCTGCTGTTTCGGTCACCGCTGCTTCTAATTATGTTCTTTTATTTGATTTTGGCTATTTCCTTATTGTATTTGGAACGCTGAAACCTTTTGGAGGAGGGTTGAACCGAAACCCAGAACTCTCTTTCCTTCCTTTATCTTTTCTGTTTCTGATTTTCCTTTTGTCTGTGGTTTTACCTTGCTTTTTCTTTGGATTTGTGTTAGTGTATAGGTTTTTGGTGGAGAATTGGTAAGAGTAGCAGAAAGGATTTAAGTGCAGCTTGGATGGAAAAAAGATAGCAATACAACCAACCAGGAATTTCAATGGCCAAATTTGAGTTTGCTAATCGTCTGGTTCCTAGCTCGTGGTGACCTACTAGTAACTAGGTCCTGGAATGAGTTGATGCTGGGTGAATCGTTGGCTGATTGCCACCGGAAATCGGGTTATTTGAATTATGGTTCTCAATATAACTCTTAGACGCCCCCCCCCCCTCTGTTATCTGCTTGCTCTCTGTTTCTTCATCTGATTTCTCTGTGTGTGGCCTTTTCTGTTGTTTATTGTACTTGGTGCATGCTTGTTGGTAATGGGTGGTTCAAGTGGGGGTTCTGATCTGGTTTGTTGATTGCTTGTGTATGGTGTCTGCTTCTGAGTTTGTGGTGGCAGACGGGTGGCTCGGTGATGGGTGATAGTATTACTAGTAGCTGGGTTTTTGTGGTGAGAGTGGTGATCAGGTTCTGAATGGTTTGGAGATAATGGTGGAGATAGCTAGTTTGACAATGGGATGGTGGTGTACTTAGTGGTGGTTTCTGGCAGAGATGGTGAAATGGCAATTGGTGAAGGGATTTTCTTTGGCCAGATTATTTTCCTAATATCATTAACGAAAAAATTTTAATGGAAATATTCATAAATAATATTTGAAATAAATTATTAATGCTGATGTGGATTTATGTAAGTCACGTTGTCATTATTTTAAACCACGTCAACACTGAAAATAATAAAAATCAATGAAAATGTTACATTAGTAATTACATTTGTCATTTAAACAGATAAATTTTAATATTACTAATTATTAGATTGACATCTAATATATATATATATATATATATATTATAATATATAAAATTACATGATCAAAATTGTTTATGTAAATATTTAGGTGAATAATCTCTTTTAATGACATATAGGATAATATTTATATTATTTTATTTATCTAATAAAATTTTTTAATAAATTATTTAAATAAATATTTTGAATAATTATTTAAATTAAAATTAAAATTTATCTAAAATTAAAATTTTTGCATAAAATTTAAATTTAAATATATTAAATTATAATTTTTTTAAAATTTAATGATAGTTTCAAATATATATACTTAATAAAATTTTATTTTTTGTTAAATAATTTTATTTAATAAATTATTTAAATTTAATATTTTTAGATAATTATTTAAATTCAAATCAAAATAGATCAAAAATTGAAAATTATTAAATATATTATTTAAATTTAATAGTTTTAGATAAATTAATAAATTATCGACTAAAAAGCATGTACTTTTAAAATAATAAAAAGCTTACATTTTTATATAAAAATATGATATATTTGAATGTTGATAAAAAAGTTAGATAAAAATATGTTATTGTTTTAAAAATAAATATAATATTTTATTTATGTTCTAATTCAAATATTTTTATATTATATATTTGGTTAATTTATTTATTTTTCTTTAGTTCATAACTTTTTTTTTTAATTTTGCTTAGATTGATTATAATTAACTTTATGTATTATATATATTTTTTGTTTTATTTATTTCTTCAATATTTTTATTTTCTATTAATTTATTAACATATTTATTTTTATTATTGTATATATTTAATCTTAACAAATTAATATATAAATTTAAACTCTCTATATCCTTTTGCTATACTTTTTATTATTTAATTTATTTGTTTATAATAGATAATATGAGAGGAATGATAATCACTACCATATTTAACTCATAAAAAAATACTATTAATTATGTTAAAAATGATTAAAAATAAAAAAATTCAAAAAAAAAGTTTTTAAGCATGACATAAAGAATTTTTATTTTCCTTTATCTAAAAAATAACTTTATTTTATTGACATATATAAAAATAATTGTTAGCCCAATACATTTGTGTAATAATTACTTAAAGTGTGTCAAAAATAAGAATTAATAAAAAGCAAATTATTATAATAAAATTAATAATTATGATTTATTGTTCAATCATATATATATGTATATATATACCACCCAATCAACATTATAATAAAAACAATTATTAATCTTAAGTATTTAAATATTAATTCTTAATTTTTTTATCAAACAAGAAAAAAGCAGTAACAAAATTTTTAGTATTTAGTAAATAAATTGAAGAAAATATTTTTAATGACAAAAAAATTTTATAATTCTTGAAAATTTACAAAAGTTTAGATTTCATGTAGATGAATAATATCATTTATAATATATTATGTATAAATTATCATTTAATTATAACTTAGTATTTATAAATATATAATTATATATTAGATAAATAATTAAAAAAATAAATTTAAAATTATGAAAATTTTAATAAAAAGATCCCGTACATTACATTATACGGGCTAAAAAAAGCTAATTTTTAAAATATAATAGTACAAGAATTAAGTTTTTTTAAATTAGGCTAAAAAAAATTAAATTTTCAAATTTCAAAAAATACAAAACTATGACATATTTTTACCTAAATGATTTTTGTCTTTAATATAGGAGGATACAACACTTTTTAAACTATCAACGAAAAAAAAAAAAAAAACGGCTTACCACGTTATCTCACATCCGGCAAGCGACAATGTCTCTCTTTCCACCGTATTGTTCTCATTCTTCCTTGTTGGTTTACCTTGATGACTGGCGCGTCAAAGGATAAATGCCAAAGTAACCTCCTGCCTTTGTTATTTTTTAACAGGAGCCTAGTCCAGTGCCTTTTTGGTCCAAACACTAAGATTCGAAGATCAAGGGTTTTTTTTTTTTTTTTAAATGCAAACTTTTGACAGTGATCAATCAGTTATTAAAAAAAGGAAACCTGTTGAACGAGGCTGTGGATCTCACAGTGAGTCACGAGATGAGAGAATTCAAGATCGAGGACAACGTTTTGGCCAGTCTCTTTAGCTTGGGTCAGTCTCTGGATTTTTTGCCCGTTTTCGTCCGACCTTTTCTCCATTCTCTTTCCTCAATTCTTTTCTTGAATCAATGAGTTTCTGTCTCTCGTCTTCGGTTAGCCCAGCTAGTTTGTTCTCCCATTCTTTTTGCTTCCTCTATGCATCCCTCTGTTTCGCTCTTTAATTTGCGCTTTCTTCTCTGCTTTCTTCGCGTCGAATATCTGTTGCTTCAAGAGCTTCTTTTGGGCGTTCTTCGAGGGAGACCGAGGCTGGGGATTGAGATTGGTAGAGTTTTACTAGCTGGTTTGCTCATTTTGTGTTGCCTCCGTTGTCGATTTTAGCTCGGAGGATTGGAACTTCTCTTCTTGGTTTAGGGTTTTGTTTGGACATTACGTTTGTTGCCAAACCTTTTTCCCAACAATCGACGACTTTAAATTTGTGCGTATCATTAATTTAGGCATTGAACAAAACAAGGAAAAACACTCCTATTAGACAAGAATATGAATAGGAGAAATTAGCCCAAAATAATATACTCTTAAAAAAAAAAATCATTGATTTGATTTCTTTTGGCAAATTGCCGCAAGAATTCTTCTTTCCAATTTCATTTCTACCTTTTGCCGTTGTCTATGATCCTTTGTTTCTTTTCCAGATTTCTCTTCTTCCGACGTTCAACTCCATCGTCCAGGTTAGATTTTCCTTTTCAATTGCTATTGCTTTTCTTTTTTTCTGATCATTTGAATTTGAGGGATATTCCATTCCTAAGATCAGAAAGTTATCAGCTTTGATGGAAAACCGTGATTTAATGGCGGTTTAATCGTTAGGTTTAGCTCTCTCAATGTAATTTTATTTCTCTTTAGTTCTACATCGGTTATTTAAATATGATTTTGAAATAATTTATATTATTATTCTCAATCAGAATTATCAAAACACAAGAATTAAGGCATAAATTTTTTAAATTTGTTTTGCAGAAAAAATCCACGTGATTTTAAATTAATTAAGATTGGTATTCTGTTGAATTTTGTTGGGGAATGATGACGGAAGGGTTAGAAAGCAGATCAGAGTTACGAAAGGAGCTAGAGAGAGAACGTCGTCGTATAAGGGACCGGCAAAGAAGGCAGTCTATGAGTCTTGAGGAAAGAGAAAAGCATCTGGCTAGACGCCGGCGAAACTATCAATTGCGCAGACAGAGAACTGAAACTGCTCGATTAAACCCTCCTCCATCTCCAATTCAATTTCAACAAACAAGCATTTCAACAATTCAATTGCCCTTAATCAATGCCATAACTTGTGTTTCAGATGTTAGTCCTCATTTTAATTCTCCTACTGCTCTTGTCGGATTTGATCATGGACAAGAAAGACTAATGCTTCACACAAGAAGCTCCCAGAGTCAGCTTCCATTACTTTACGATTAAATATTAATGTGATGGTTTATAGGAAAAAAAACTTTATATTATGTTCTTACTAGTTCCTTTGTAATTTTTACTCAACAGGTTTGGAAATCCCAGCTCATAAGTTAGCTAATTTACCTGGAAAGGTACGTTTGAATCGCATAAAACATCTGGCACGAGCAATAAATGATCCTGTTGGTGATGGGGTTGCAATGAGTGGGATGATGAAGGAAAATGGAACTTCCAATTGTAAGTTTATCGAGTCACCCCAGCTTATATTGGATAAGGATAGATGTCAATGATTCCATTCATATACTTTTGAAACCATTTATTAATGAACTGCCCTATTTCAGATTATAAATTTATATATAAAAAATCTGTTCTTCAGGCTTAATATCGAAAGGATTGCGATTAAATCGTATTAAACATCTTGCTCGGGCATTAAATCCTGCTGTGCAAGAGACTCTTAGTCAAAGCCGTCAAAGTGTAACAGGAGGTAAGAATGAATATGCATATACTTTTAGTTTCTACCTTGTCACACAAATTTCATTATTCTTTGCTAAAAAGTTTTTGCTTTCCAAAAGGATTGAATTCATAATTCAATCCTTACTATACTGAAAAGAGTCAGCTTTAGAGAGAAACTCATTTGATAAGTCATAATGTGTGTAAGTTTAAACAGTTTAACAATCATAGAGTTGAAGATGATGATTTTAACAAATAGTTTTTGGTGGCTTATCTGATAAACTGATAGTTGCTTTTATGATGCAATTTAGTCGGTTCGACAGGAGTATTTTCTGAGAAGGGTAATGACAAGTTTTTGCTATTATGTTTAGGGTGAACATCTCTGTTGTTCTGCTGAAGACAAGACAGCCGTTTTAATCAGTGATATACTAATTTATTTTGGCTCTTCAGATTCTTTCAATTGAAAATTTGTAAGTTCATTAGACTAGTTAATTCTTTTAGAGTCTATTGCATATGGTTGAAATTCTTTGCTGTTGCATTGAATATTCAACTGGAGACATTGAAACTTTTTCCCTGTAGTCTTCTTATGTAATTCGTCTGAAATGGATGAAATTTTTGTCTGAAACTAAAGTGGTTAGCAGTTATGGTTTAGGTAACGAATTGGGTAAGCTACTTTAAGAGAAGCTTTATTTTTTTCTTGTTTGCCATTTTCCTTTTCGCATCTCATACTCACTATCTATACATATATATTAGCTGCTAGAAGATTTGCCTCTTTATTTATAATTCAGAGAACAGAACCTAATAATGTATGATAGATATACAGGATTTGGCAACTCCTGCTTTGAATTAAACCTTTTCTGTTTTCATTTTTGTTATCCTTTAAGACAGTAGGGTGGAGAAAAAGGATGATTGCAATAGCAGAGGAGCGTCACAGATGTAGACAATTTGCTGGATAAGGGTTAGGGATGTTTAGAATAGAATTGCATGATGATAAGAAGAGCCATCTGCTGCGTGGGACTATATGTTGACATATGAAGGGGAGGGGTGCTAACAAATATATTATAGTATGATGTTTTGCTCCCTCTTTGCAAATCCTATTTCTTAAGCAATTATTTCGGTTTGAACATTTTATTTTTAATTTTTTTCTTCGTTTCTTAACTGTCTCCTCCTCCGTCTCCACCAAATTGTGTAATGACATATCATTTGTCGGCACCGTTACTATCACCCTTTTTCTTTTTTCTTTTTTTCACTTGGATCGGTCTTTCCTAGAAATGAATTTTCATTTTCTGTTCTTGGTTCTATATGGGCCAAGTTAAGTTCATTGTGTTTTGTGCTTGAAAAGAAAAAAAATAGAGACCGTCATAATCAGAAAAGGAGCGTTTAATTGAACTTTCCAAAAAGTATGTTGCACCCTCAAGAAATACAAATTCTTTGGTACACTGCTGTCGGCCTAGGTATTCATAATTTGATTTTAATTTAATTAATTAATTAAATTAATTTAATTCGATCAATCTATCAATTATTAAATTAATTTTGATTTGTTAATGAAAATAATTTTAAAAGAATTTTAATTTTTGGTTAATTTAATTCAAAATTAAAGTCATCAAAATTTTAATTAAAATATAATAAAATTTAAATATAAAAAAAATAAAATGAATCTTTTTATTTTATAAATTGTTAGAGTTTTAAATATAATATTTTGGTATTTGATTATTTTGTTAGATAATTTTATTTAATTTATTTAAAATATGAAAATTAAAAATTAAACATAGAATTTAACTTCAATGCATATATTATTCATTTACCTAAAAAAAATTAAATCAATTGAGATAAAATCGGTCGATTAGTTTTTAAAATCAATAATTTTGATTTAATTAATAACAATACAATAATATAATTTATTACTTCAATTTTATATAATTCAATTTAAAATTAACCTAATCAATCAAATAAACATCCCTATTAAGTTTTGCTTTCTGTTCTATGCTTTGTTTTTTTGATAATTGGTTTTACATTATTCCGGTCAATCTTCATTTGTCGTTATTATGCAAACAATCACTAGGTTAACTGTGTATTGAAATGATTAATGGGCTTTATTTTCGTAGCCTAATTCTTTGGTTTATCTGTTTCATTACGCAATGTCGGACAAGAGTTTATGGCTTTACTAATGCAAGTATTACCTTTTAATAGGCAGGCGACCAGTCAAGCTTTCATAATATCGTAGTTGGTTCGACTTTCAATCAAACCACTGTCATATTTGTCAAATTGTTTTTTTTTTTAATTTATAATAATTAACACAATATCATGTGCGACTTTGATACTGCTCATCTCCATTGATGACATTAAATAAACAAATTTTTGAAGGAAAAGTGTCATTCGGTATTTTCCTTTTCTTTTTCATTCTCATTTCTCATCTCATGGTCTGTTATTAACAATTTAGATTTGCAGAAGATTATAAAAATTTTGGGCTTTTGGCTGGTCAAAAGTGCAGTCGAGCCATATGAAAGTTGGGCCTTCATGATCCATCAATTTAATATTTTGCAAACCCTAGCATCGAAATTGAGCGGCAGCAGCTAAACATTCATAGCCGTCAGATGCAAATCCACGCTATAAATTAACACCCCAACCCTACTTTCACCGCCGCTCAATTAAACTCCATAGCTTTGATGTAAACAGAGGTTTATTGTCTATCTATGTTGAAAAATACCTAGTTTATTTTCTTCTTGTTGATCCATGACCAGTAACCGTTTCAAAATCTGATCTTTCGTCAATTTAATTCCTATAAAATTATTTGATTTCTTCCTGGTGGGTTTTTTTTTTTTAATTTTTTTATTTGTGCTTACGGTGTTTAATCTAATGTGACGGGGATTAGAAATCCTTATCTATGAAGCGGGGCAAACTAGATTTTGTTTGTAAATCCCGAAGATAACGTCACAAAAAAACGCTTGTTGACGTTGATGGTCCTCCCTACGGGGAGCTCCTCCGTCGATGGGCTGTCTCATATTCCATCGCCTTGTGGAGCAGCGTCGCTGCTTTTACCTCTTGGGACTGGCCATGAGACGTACATACAAATCTTACCCTTGCTTTTTTAGAGCTTGCAAATTTTCTCTTTTTTCTTTTTTTTTGGTTTCTTATAAATGAAAGATGCAAAGTTTGATTTGTTATAACTGATGCTAGTGTGAGTATAACGGGGGATGAAAATCCCTCTCTGTATTTGGAGCAAATCAAAGAATTATGGTTGTATATTCCAAAGATAACGTTAAATAAAAATGTAGGACGACGTTGATGGTCCTCCTTCCGGGGAGCTGCTCCGTTGACGGAAGTCTCATATTCCATTGCCTTGTGGAGCGGCGTTGCTGCTTATATTTCTTGGGATTGGCCATGAGACTTACATGGTGTATTGTGTTTGCATATTAATTTGATATATGAAGTTTTCAAGTGTTGTAAGAGGGGCCGATGAGGATACCAAATACAAAATACCATCTTTCGGGACTGAATGGCTTTCGTAAGCCTTGCTGTCATTCTGCAATTCTGAGGCCCTTTTAACTTGTTATGTTTTCTCTGAACCATTTATAGTACTTCTGCAAAATAACAAGGCATTATTTTTGATGTAAAGTTTTAGTTTATTCAAGTTTGTAAAACACGTACCCCTCCATTAGATCTTTATGTCAAATTTGGGGATTGTGTATGAGTCTCCTATCATCGGTCATTGTTATTTGGTAATAGATACCCTGCGAACTACTAATCCAAAAAATTTTATAGTGTTTTCGAGGCTAAACTTAAATTTAATTCCTTGCATCATTTTCCTAAAATTCCCTAATAAAAAAAAAAAAACGAGGATGGTGGATTTCATTTAAGTATTGTTTAAATTTTATGTAAATTATATAATCAAAATTTATGTAATATTGATTTAGGTTTAGTATGGATTTGCAACCATGTTGGGGAATAACAACATTGCTCATTAGGTGATTGGGGCATCGGAGTTCATGGCACCCGAACTGGAAGAAGAGAATCATATTGAAGGCTGTGGACATACTCGTTTGGGATGTGTTTACTGGAATTGATCACTCAGGAATTACCGTACAGTGAATGCGATAGAATTCAAAGGTATAAAGTGAGTTCAGGGTCAAAGGCAGAGGCTATCAACTATGCCTTTACTAACAAGTGCCTTGCGAAGCAATCAGAGAGACCCTCTGCTATACAGCTACTCGTAGATTCATTCTTTCGTGGACTTTACAAGGATGAAAACTATACTGTAACTGCATTTGTTTTGTTTGTATTCGCTCCTGCTGGAAGTTAGTTGTCTTTTCTGAAGACTACATTTAAAATTCAATCGACCATTATTACTAATTAATTGACTCTTGATTCAATTCTGACGTCTTTGATTTGTAATTACCTATCGGGTGCATTCTGCCAATTTGAAAATGATATTCATGTGCAGTAACCAATGTATTTTACTTGGCTAAATGAACGTTATCTGATGACTTTGTAGCCTGTATTAGTGAATTTGATGTTCCAAATTTCTACTCTTTTGCTTTGAATATTATTACAGTACAAGATTAGAAGTTTCCCTTCAAGCTTTGATAGACTTTCACCCTGTTTTTTATTAAAAAGAAAATGCTTTACTTACACAATAACATGAGACATTGTAGATCTTTCAATTCAGAAGGTTAGTCATTACTTTTGGCTTCGTACAGGATTACATCAATTGAAAATTGATGCAGTTTTAATACTAGAAAATCTCTTCTACTTTCAGAAAGAATGAAAATGGTGCAATTTACTCCCTTCATGACAAACTAAGATGAACAAGTTTTACCGAGCATTTTCATTAGAGAGAAATAAAATGTAACCAATCTACATTAGCGTATTTTTTAATAAGAATGCACATATTCCCTGTTAATCCAATTACATTTACATACATGCTAGAGGTATAAGATTGGACCACGGAAAGCAGAATATTCAAGAAGACCAAATACCCTAATAAACAAGACTATGTGAACGATGTGTAAGAGCCATATTGAAGCTTCGGGGATTCCAAGACACTTCGTGCAGCTTCTATGACTACTTGCCCATTGACATAGTGCTGCCGACATACAGGCATGTAGATATCAGCCCCGCCAATCAATTCTGTTTGTGTCTCATCGGTCTTTCTTAAGGTAAAGAAAGCACGTCTCCCACAAAGTTCACATCGAGCAGTTAACTTCATCACAGAATCAGCAAGGGGAATAATATCAAGCACAGATCCGAAGCTCCTTCTGCCAGCAAAAATTGGAGTAAACCACAAGGGGAGAGTAGGAACGTATATAAATTCAGTAATGAGCATGCATCTCGAAAACGATAGTAGATCAATTAATACCTCAAATAGTCACCATCCAGCCCAGCAACTATCAAAGTTTTGCCATCATGATCAGCAGCTTCACAGCAAAAGTCATAAAGGTCATCAAAGAATTGAGCTTCATCAATGCCAATGACGTCAAGCTGTTACAAACATTGGATTATGAGTATATTCGACAATAAATACCCACAAAACTGGTCATGCTCATGAGAATGTTACAAAGAAAGCCAGATATACACATTCAAATAAACAGTTGTCATCATGCATGATAAAAAGCATCAACTATTGATGTTGACATATGACAAACCTGATCATAAGCATCAGGGCCAAGTTTTTGTCTGAATGATAATAAATTTGCTAATGCCCAACATGGTAGTTTCATGCCGTCATGTGTCACAATTGAATCCAATCCATATCTTGTATCCTTGTTTGATTTTATTATAGCCACAGTTCTGCATACCAAATATAAAGAAAGTTAGACAGATTAACAAGACAAGAGTCAATCAAGAAAACCAAGTGGAGATCATTGTATCAATCAGGCAATTGAATTTGGGGCATTGTGCCATTGGTAGTACTCCTAATTGCCACCTAATACTGAATTAAAAGTACAAACTACAAGCCATGTGACTTTGACATGAGTTTGCTGAAGAATTAAAAACCTGTCAAATCACATTCTAATGAATAAGAGAATGTGGATATTTAGGCAGCAGGTAACTTTCAGCACATAGAATACAACAGCAGTTTTAATGGGCTTTACCTATTGATAGGGTTACCAAATTCTGTACATTTCTCCACACACACTAAGAGTCTAAGATTGAAACAAGAACTTTTAGAACCTTCAACTAGCCCTGCTTCACGGCACAAAAACCACAATAAGGAGTAGTACATAGGATTTTAGGTGCCACTTATATCAGGAACATAGCCTGAATCCTTTAAAATGGAAGGCATTAATTTGATCAACTCGTAAATCTCCGCAGAACGTTTGTGAGATGTATCACCCCTCAAAAAGAAGTGGATCTCCCCTTGAATCTCAATCCTGCTATGAGCAGGCTCCTTTATGACCCCAGAATTCCTCATATTCCACCTAAGTGCTGCCAAATTTTCCCAAAAACCAAAAGCAGCAAAAGCATTAGACAAGACCACATATGTTCCAGCATTTTCTGGGTCCAATTCAAAGTATTTTTCTGCCGCAAGCTTTACCAGATCCATATCCCCATGAATCCTACAGGCCCCAAGCAGAGCACCCCATATGGCTGGGTGCTCCTTACAAGGAGAGTTAAGAACAAACTTGTAAGCTTCATGCAACTTTCCAGAACGGCCTAAAAGATCAACCATGGCAGCATAATGTTGCCCTGTTGGTTGGATTCCATAGTCTCTTGTCATTGATAAGAAATAGTGCCAACCTTCATCAACCAAGCCTCCATGGCTACATGCAGAAAGAACTGCAAGAAAAGTAACATAGTTTGGTCTAAAACCTTCTTTTTTCATTTTATCAAATAATTCCAAAACCTCAATAACCCTTCCATGCTGGCCATATCCAGATATCAAGCTCGTCCAAGTAATGACATTTCTATTTACTACTTTAACAAATACCTGATGAGCATCAATAAGACTGCTGCATTTGAAATACATATCCATGAGAGAACTGCTGACCACAACATTTTCCCTGATATGGCTCTTTATCAGGATCCCATGGACTCGCTTCCCATGCTCTAACGAGGCTAAGGAGGCACAGGCTCTAAATATGGATGCAAAGGTGTATTGGTCTGGTGTTAAACCATTCTTTCTCATGTTGTAATAGAGATCAAGTCCAAATTCTCCACAACCCTTTTGCACAAATCCAGCAATCATTGCATTCCAAGAAATCAAAGTTTTTTCTAGTAACTTATCAAACAGAACATGCGCAGTTTTTAAATCCCCTAATTTTGCATACAATATCAATAACTTGATCTTCAGATATTCACTGGGTACATATCCAATAACAACCATTTGTGCATGGATACTTCTCCCACTTTTATATTCTTTCCTGAATATGCATTCTTGCAAGAGAAGAGCATAAGTTCCAGCATCTGCTTTCAATCTTGTACGCCATAATAGCCCAACAGCTTCACCCAGTCTTCCCGTAAAACAAAGACCCTTTAAAGCCTTATTCAGTTGTATGTAATTTTTACGGAGCTTGGCCTGAAAGCTGGGAATATTTATCATTACATTCGATCATCCAACAGCAGTGAGAAAAATCTATACCAATGGACTAAACTTCCTAGGGAAAAAAAAAGGAAACAAAAGAAAAAAAGGAAAAATACCGATGGCAGCTAGTAGATTTACCAAAACAAACCTCATCATGAATCCAAAGCCAATTTTTTTTTTTCCAAACCGTAACATATGACAAGATAAACTGAAATCTATAATTCAATAACATTATGCCCAGACTTTAATCCAATTCTATGACATAAAATAGAAGCGCGAAAAATAAAAGAAGAAGGTGGTTCAAACCTGCCATTGCTGCTTTCAGCTTGGATTCGGCGAAGCAGTGAGGTTGTCTTGCCAGCGAACATGGGTCCTACGATCACGTGGATCTCACCACAGGGTGAAGAAGATTGCGAGGTCTCTGTATGAAGTTTCCGATTTGGGATTGAAAAAATTGGGGGTGTTGGTGAAGGCATTGCGGGTTTTATGTGGAGAAATTTTGGATTTGAAAGAGTGGAGAGTTGGCAAAGATTGGGGTTTTTCGAGGGTAAAGAGAAGAATGCAAAAGGTGTGGCTTTGCGAAGATGAAAAGAGAGCGGAGAACATGTTGGGAATATTAAGGACTTCATTCTTGAAATAGTTAAAATTGATTTTTATAGCCAAAGAAGGAGAGGTTCAATTCAATGGCTTTTGCTTGCTAAAGAGTGAAATTTGGCATGGCAGCTAATTTTAGCGTTTAAGAGCAATACATAAAAACAGTGAAAGAGAAAGGGGCGGGAAGAGGGATTAGGGTTTAAGCGACACACAATCTGACATTTAACCAAAGTACTTCAGCTACAAAAGGCTTTATGTTTTGCTCTTTTTGGGGCGTTTAGGGGGGTTCGGATATTCTACATTCGATGTTACGTACGGTCCCCAAGGACGCATTGTGTGACTTATTCTCTGCCATCAAATGTAATAGAAATTGAAAGTTGTGATTGATCATCGCACTTTCTGCGGTATCTGGTTCGTAGTAGTACCCGTTCCCCCCTGACGTAAAAATTTTACCTGCTTCTTTCTCCAAAAGCTCTATTTCACCTATTTTTTCAGTTTTCACCTTCATTTCTAAACGGAGGAAAAGAAAAAAAGAATATTGCTTTTTGATTCAGTTTCTTTCTCTGAGGTCTATATTAGTCGGTAATCCCTTACCACCAAGTGGATTTTGTTTTTTCTACTTGGGGTTGGGGCCATGATTAAGATAAACGGGAATAATAATGGTTAATTTTTAAAGAAACACCATTTTTGATATCCCAGTACTTACGATCAATTTTATTTATGAGCAATCTTATTGCTGCCTAATAGGCTTTTTATGGAAAGATGATTGAAATCTGGCAGCCATATAAACCTCTTTTCCTCTATAACTATTATAATCACGTGCTAATTGGGCGCGCGCGCATATATATATTTATATATATATATATATATATATATATATAATCTCTTGTAAAAAAATAATGTATTAATAATATATATAAATGATTTAATTTTTTTTAATTTATTAAATTAATAATTAAAAAATATATAAATCTAAAAAGTTTTATATTGATTTAAATTAATCTATTTATATATATATAAAGTGTTATGGGTATTTTAGTGTCCAAATGGTAAAATAGATTTTTCCCTTATTAGTATAAGTCAAGTTGATAAGTAAATGTATTTTGATCATTTTAACTTAGTTGATGTATCAAGCCGACTTGAATTCTCGTGGTCCACGTTTGCTTGTCCAGTTCAGCAATCTATAAGCTAATGCCTTAGGATATTGACTTGTCATGCCCTAAATAGATAATTGTTAGTTCAGTTCGAGCCTACGAAGATAGTTTTAATTTTCTAGGCTTGATCTTAGACAGCCTAAGCCTAAAACCTCCATCACACATGTATAAATAGGACTATTCAAGTACTTCTAATCCATTCTAAACCTTTCAGCCTTAAAACCTTTTATTTCATTATTTTTTTCCTATCATTATTAAATTGATCCTTGATTTAAGCATTGGAAACAAATACTATGACCACCTTTAACCTTTATTCTTAACCACACTCTTTTTCTCTCTTATGTTTTAAGGGTTTTACACTATTCAAATAGCTTGACACAAACATATGGCGCGTCATATAAGATTATATTCATTTAGCCTCATTAAACATGCCTTTTAGAAAAAAAAAATAGTAAAAGAAGGAGAAACTGCTGTTAAAACAAAAACCCAACCCAACCATGGAACAATTTGAGGCCTTCACCCAGTAGCTTCAATCTCTTAAAGAAATGATCCAAAACTTGACCTAACCATAAACCTTAAAGACACTAGATCTAATAACTCTTAAAAATCCACTTGTTCAAAAACTACCAACCTATGATGATGCTATGACCTTGTCGGCATCAGATGAGGATGAAACATCAATAACTCATTACCTTACACATATCTCAACACAAGCCACCACCCTCCTTAAAACCATAGTCGAACAGAAATATAGAAGCTTGAATAGAGGCTATAAAACACTTCATTTTATCGTGAGATTTTTTGAAATTCATTGGATTTTAATTTTTGATTTGATTGTGCAATTGGGCTTGAGATAGAGGAAAAAGAGCAAAAATCAAAAGAAGCAAAAAAAACTAAACAAAGGAAAGCAATAAGAAAAAACTATAGACAAAATGGAAAGGAAATAGCAAAGAAAAAAAAAAAGAGAAAAGAAAAAAGGAAGAGATGTGCAAAAGCAAGAGAAGTCAATAAAAAAAATAAAAAAGAGAAAGGCCGATGCTTATGAGGGGAAAGGAAAAATGAGAAGCAGATGACAAAAAAAAAGAGCAAAAATTGAGAGGCTAGGAGCAAGAAAAATAAAAAAAATAAAAGAGGATCATAAAAAAATTGAGCATGCGGCAGCAAGCAAGAAAAATTGTAAACCACTATTAGGAGGGCAAAAGCATGAACTAAAAAAAAATGTGACCAGAAACAAATAAAAAATAAAAAATGTAGAAGTAAGGAAACTAAGTAGAAAAATAAAAGAACATGAAGCAAAAAAAAAAAAAAAAGAGGTAGAAAAATAAACAACCAAAAACAAAAGAAAAAAGAAATAGTGAAACGTGAATAGCAATAGAAAAAAAATTGAACTAAAAAAATAGAAAAATAGCATAAACAAAAGAAGAAACGAGTGGAACAGAAAGTAAAAACAAATTAAGCATGAAGCCAGTAGCTAAAAAGAGGGAGAGCTTATGAGATAAGCGGTAGAAAAAGAAAATAACAGGGATATAAATGGGTAATCTTTCATGTTTTAATCTTTTTAGAAATAGGTTTCATGTTTTCATACGTTTTCTTTCTAAGCAATGCTTTTGTTTTTCTTTGCTTTGGTTGTTACATACACAGTGACATCTCTTGCCTAGGTTATATATTTTGTTTGTTGACATTCATCTCTAAAATAAGAAAGGGAAAATATATATAATGAAAAGAAACTTATTTCATCCAAAAAACAATTGTAAAGCATAAAAAAAATGGTTTGTAAAAGTTCCAAAGGCCGAAAGAATTTGCAAACCCAAACGAAACTTTTCTTTTTGTTTACCATCATGAAAGTTTATCACCAGTGCATCAAAGTTTCTTATGTTTGTATTTTCTTTAAAGTGTTTAGATTTTTCATTTTGCATATTACTTATAGATTGTTTCATACACACTTTGGAGAATAAAGAACGCATGACTAAATAAAAGAAAATATTTCATTTCTAGATTATTTGTAGGCATTGTCATATTTTTGGTAAATTGTTTGTGGAAGCTAGAAGTCTCAAACCATATTCACATGTGCCTTTGAGTTTTTCATGCAAGTGTTGTTGACTGAATTCCAAGTTTCATTTTTTTTTCAATTTATGCTAATTTAATAATTTAAATTTCTTTTTTATGCTCATAGGCTTCTAAATATCCTCATTGATTATTTATATCTTTGACTCGTTAGAGATATTTTATTTTTTTAAATAAAAAAATAAAATATAATAAAATATAGAAAATAAAAATAAAAATTTGAAAACCCTACTTGGATGTTGGAGGGAATAAAAATAGTATTTTAAAAAATTTTTAATTCCTCATAGATATTGAGAAATTATTAAATAATAATAATAATAAAATTTTTAAATATAAAAATTTATTTTTTAGAAAAATTATAAAAAATAAGCTTGCTCCGAAAGTCTATCTAAAAGTTGAAGATTTTTCGAAAAGTTTTTAAGTTTTTTAAACCTTAAAATGAAACCTTAAATTAAAACCTTAGAATGAAACCTTAAATGAAACCATAAATGAAATTTAAAACCCTAGAAAAAATATGAGATTCTAGGTGAAATTGAAACCCTAGGTGAAACCCAAAATCCTTAAGTAATACCCGAAACCCAAGGTAAAAACCCTAAACATTATGTGAAATGCTAAACCCTAAGTAAAACCCTAAAACCATAGTTTAAAACCTAAATGAAAACCCAAGCCCTAAAGTCTTGAAACTCTAAATTATTTTAAACTTTTAAGGATTTGTATGAAAACTTTTCGTGAAGTAATCTGTTCCTGAATGCCGTCTAGACAATAAGGTATTTAGAAAATTTTATGTCATTAAAATTTTCATATAATTCTTTAATCCTAAATAATAAAATTAAATAAAAAATAAAATTTTAAATATAAAAAGTCGCACTCAAACTCTCCATGCATATTTACATTTATTACTTATATACGTTTTATTTTTAGTTGATATTTATGGTTAGCTATTTAATTATTCAATTATTTTTTTCAAAAGTAAATAAATAAAGAAATTAAAATAATATTATGGGGAATATAATTTTTTTGTACTTTACTTAGGTGTTAGAGAGTCACCAACAATTCTCACTTTCAAATAATATTATTTTTATTTTCATTTTCAAGAAAATGTTATGGTAAATCTTAGATAAAAAGGATTATCTTCGAATTTTACTTTTATGTTGGAGAATTTTAAAGTATTTTTTAATTTAGAAATTTTCATAACATTTTTAAATAAAGATTTTTTAAGTAATTTTATTTCTTAAAAATGAAGAAAATTATAATTAAATTTCATATAAAAATCATTTTTCTCTAAAGTTATAGATAGCGCATGATTAAATTATATTAATTTTATAAGTGCTGTAAGGGTACTGATACTTCTCCACGTATAATTAACTCTCAAATCTAATCTTATTTTCATATACAAAAATTATCTTTTAATAATTTTTAAACTCATTTTATTGTTTTATTACAAAGATAAAAATATTTGGATAATCAATCATATCTTAAAAAAGATTGGTGATGATTTTTTATATTTTTCATGATTTTTAACTTTTATGTCTAGTGATTAAGTTTTTGAACTGATATGCTATGATAAGTCTAACCTATCAGGCTGCTTGGTAGGGAGACAAAATGTTAAGAGCATTTTAGTATTCAAAAGGCATAATGAACTTTTCCCTCATTATTATAAGTCAATTGACAAATAAAGATATTTTGATTATTTTATCTAGTTAACATATATCAGGTTGACCTAAAATTTTGAGGTTCATGTTAGTTCGATTACCTTAGTAACTTACAAGCTATTATCCTTGAATGCTGAGTTGTCGTGCACTGAATGGACAATCAAATGCTAACTCAACTTCGCTTACAAGGCTAACTCTAGTTTCAAAAACTTGACCTCAAGCAATCTAAGCCCAAAAGCCCCTATAACATAGGTATAAATAATATTATTTCGATATTTCTAATCCATTCTAAAATTTTCAACGTCAAAACTTAGATTTCATTGCTTTCTACTTTCACTCTTAATTCAATTTTTGATTTAAGCGTCGAAATAAAAACATTTGGATTATCCCAACCTTTATTTTTAATCGTCTTCTTTCTCTTTTTTATATTTTCGAGATTTTACCCTCCTTGATAAGCTTGACACAAGCAATAAGCATACATTTATATGTAAAAGTCTATCCAATGACTGCGCATGGCTTAATTATGCTTATATATATTAGGTAAGTATTTATAAAATAAGCGAAGATCTCTATTAATTTTAAGCTAAAAGAATTTTTTTATTTTTTACATATAATGCAATAAATTAAAGATATTCCTCGCCAACCTCAAAATTAAATTCTTAATTTTTCCTAATTTCTCAACCCTATAAAGAAAAAAAAAGATTTTTTTAGAGGGAAGAGGAGAATTAATAAAAACGTATGAATTGAGATTGATGGAGATTTTACAGCCGACGCGGAAGGAGGGATATGATCAAATTTTATAATGGAAATATGATATACATTTAATAAATTCTGACTTTGGTGGGACATATATATATATATATATAGAGAGAGAGAGAGAGAGAGAGAGAGAGAGAGAGAGAGAGAGAGAGAAAGGAACCTGAAAGGGTCGTCTAAGGAAAGGGCGGCTGGGAAATAGGGAGGTGATTACTTATTTATTATCGAGATTTAAATTGAAAACAAATTAAGAAAAGAAGGTGATGAAATTGTATTGGAAGACTGCAACATCATGCATGCGCTCTCTCTCTCTCTCTCTCTAACCGAATGTGTTTAAGCTTGATGCATCCAATCTAACCCTAGAAGTCCTCCTAACCCTCTTTCTCTTTCTATGTCATCTTCGTAATGGACGGATGGGTGCACTAGCAATCCCTTCTGTATTTCACACTTTTCTCCCACTTTTTAATCTTTTGTTTTTTTTTTAATATATTAATTAATATTAAAAGTTGGGATGCAAAGATATTTTGTAATCACCATCTTATCTGTTTCCAAACATATATAATATTATATAAATTAATCCTATGATTTTTCCATTTCACCTTTCAACATTAATCTTTAGATGTACCATCAACGTTAAACTTCTATTCAAAATGTGGTATACCAAAACAGTTCATCCCTTGCCTCTACGTGAAGCAACTTAATTCATTCATTTGTAGTCTTGCGTAATTAGAAAATAAAAAAATTAATAACCAAAATCACACATATATAAACACATAGACAAAAAAAAAAAAGTTAGATGGCAAAGTAAAAAATTTACTAATTTTTTGAAATATATTTTTATGTAATTTTCTTCTTTAAAAATTTCAAAATCTATTTATTGAAAACTCATGACATGACTACAAAACAAAAAACTTTATAATTAAATCAATGGAACATATTAGTGTATGGACCACCTAATTTGTTATTCCATTATTTCTTCTTTGTAGCGTGTCATTGTAATTTACCTCAATCCTAATACACCCCACCAAAGGCCAAAGTGAAAAAAGAATAACCTTTTTCTTTTTCTTTTTATTTTTATTTTTATTTTTTTCTTGAATGACAAAAAAAAAAAACCACCTAAAAAAAAGGACAAAACTAAGAAAAAGAGCCTAATTGCATAATGGATTTAGTGGCGATTTGGATTGTAAACTCTTAAATTTTGAAGAGAAAAATTATTTTAAAAAATTGATATTAAAAAGAAATATATGATTTTTAAGTTTTATTAACTTTAAAAAATATAAAATTATTATCTTTGATAATAAGTAAATAATGCGTCACATTTATTATATGAAACACATGAATAATATGTGATATTTATACTATATAATTTGTGAGTAATAAGTTATTTTCATTAAAACTAAAAAATTGTGAAAAGTAAATTTTTTTATAATTTTAATAAAAATTATGTTTTTAATTTAAAAAATATCATCATTGTTGAAACTATAAAAAGAAAAACATAAAATTATAACATTCTTAAGATAAATAATATTTTTTATTTAATTTAAAAATTAGATTAAGTGAAAATAAATGAAAAAAAAAAATTTACTTTCCTCCTAAAATTTAAAAAAATCTTAGGAAGAGGTCGCTTAATGGAAGGGAAAAATAAGGAAATAGTAGTAAACAAAGAGGGTAGAAATGAAATTTTGCGAACTTTTTTTTTTTTTTCTTTTTTTGGTTTTGGTTTTGGTTTGGTGCGTGTTATGGGATTTTAAATCAAACTCAAACTTGGAAAGTCACCATCTTCGATCGTCTCCTTTTGTAACTCTCTTACACGAGGTGATGATAGCCAAGCCTCTCTCTTTCTCTCTCTCTCTCTTCTAAAAATATACAAAATACAACAAATACAAATATTTATATTCATTTTTGGTCCAAATCCATTTTCTCTCACATCTCTGCCTCTCCGTTTGATGCACAAAAACCATTCATTTACAAGCATACATATATATATATATATATTTATACATCCCATTGATATCAAAACAGTAATTGGAAGGAACAAAAAAAAAGAGAGGAAAGGAGGGCCTTTAAGCCCTCTCCTGCTTATTATGCTTCCTCTCAGATCTTAAATTCTCTTTCTTTACCATCTGGGTTTGTTCTCCCTGGTATAATTAATATCACTTTCTCTTCAAAAATCAATAAAACAAAGCCGGCATAGCTTGTTTTCCTTTGTTTTCTTCATTATTTGCGCTATACATGATTTCTGGGTATTGAATCTTTCACTCATTTCTCATCAAAGACGGATCTTTTTTTTCTTTGGTCTTTAGGAATCCTGGATTGTTGGTCGATTGATAATCGATCGGTAATTGGTCTCATGCTTTTCGATTGAATCCAACAACACCCGGTCGTTTTATATTGATATAAATAACCAGGCTTTGCGTGATATCTGTATTCTGACAAGGTACAGATTTCTTTGTTTAATCTACATTACGATGTTTTATGTTGGATTGGTTTTTAAGACATGATGTTGAATTCTGTATTGCCTTAAAATTTAAGAAAGCAAAGTCTCAATTACATCTGTTGCTATTTACATATAATTATGCCTCGAGTTCTAGATCTGATGTTTGCTTTCTTTTCTAGTGGAATTTAATTTGATTGGTCTAGGCGAAGACTTGATTTTTATTTTTCTTTGAGACAAGGTGATTTTGCGTATGTTTATTCATTTTGTTTATGATTGCTTGGAATTCCATTGAACAAGATTATTGGATTTGGTGTTCAGAATGGAAATGGAGCTTGGCAAGCTATTCATTGGTGGGATTTCTTGGGACACAAATGAGGATCGTCTTAGAGACTATTTTCAGGTTTTTGGGGAAGTTGTGGAAGCTGTGATAATGAAGGATCGGGCCACCGGTCGTGCCCGTGGATTCGGATTTGTTGTTTTTGCTGACCCAGCTATTGCAGAAAGAGTTGTTATGGAAAAGCATAAGATAGATGGTAGAACTGTAAGTTCCTACTTTCTAAACTCTCTAATAGCATGATAAATTCAGAACGATAGTATTTTATTGGTTTTCTTTTATGTCATGAATTATAACATACAATTCAAAGATTTAGAATTAGCAAGTTTCTTGTCCTGGTGCAGTTTGACTACCCTTCCTATTATCTTTATTTTTTAAAAGGTTGTATTAGTTTTATTAAAGAATTTCTGCTTAGGTTTTTATTTTGAAGCTTATATTGTACATTTGTGGGGTTTGCTTGGCAACATGTTGCTATTGAGTAAGAACTATTAATATATTTTTTTCCTTTAGAGGCAAAAGAAGGACATAGAATTATAAACATGGTTAATGTCAAATGCTTTATTTTGTTTAAATCATCAGTAGGATATCACCTTCAGTTGTAGAATAAATTTTACAAAGACCAAATGCTTGTTTTAGAAGAGAGAGATTGATGCCATGAAACAGCAAATTTTCCTGTTACAATTGCACAATTGCATTCAGATGAGTCAATGCATTCACAAGGCACAATTTGTTAATTGTGAAAAGGACCTTTGGTAATTATTTACCATCCAAGAGACTTTGCAACTTAAGAACCTACAGCAGTGCAAAATTACAATTTGTATCATGGGGAAGAAGCATATTATACATCTTTCTTCTCAGTTCCTCAATTGTAATAAATAGTATAAGTTTCCAGGATGCATAAAACAAAATATGGAGAAAGTTAAACAGCTTTAGGTGGTGACTATCTACATTAAGATTCAAAGAGTTTGTGCACTTGAGAAACTAGGATCTATGTTGTAAAACTGAAATTATGTTAATCTCCATTTTCTGTGTTCTGGTTTTCTCTTTCAGGTTGAGGCGAAGAAGGCAGTTCCTAGGGATGACCAGAACATTCTAAACAAAAGCAATGTTAGCAATCATGGATCACCTGGTCCTGCTCGAACAAAAAAGATATTTGTAGGAGGCTTAGCATCCACAGTCACTGAGAGTGACTTTAAGAGGTACTTTGATCAGTTTGGTACAATTACAGATGTTGTTGTGATGTATGATCACAATACCCAGAGGCCACGAGGTTTTGGATTCATAACTTATGATTCAGAGGAAGCTGTGGATAAAGTCTTGCAGAGAACATTTCATGAACTCAATGGAAAAATGGTTGAGGTCAAGCGGGCTGTTCCCAAAGAATCATCTCTGGGGCCAAGTCGGAACCAGTTAGGTGGATATAACTTTGGTCTGAGTAGAGTCAATAGCTTCCTTAATGGTTACATGCAGGGTTATAATACTAGTTCAGTCGGAGGTTATGGTGTTAGAATGGAAGGTAGATTTAGTCCAGTTACTGTTGGTCAGAGTGGATTTCCTCCATTGAGCCCTGGTTATGGGATGGGACTGAATTTTGAGTCAAATTTGAGTCCAAGCTATGGAGGAAGCTCAAACTATAGTTCTAACCTCAGCTATGGACAGGGATTGAATACTTCATTTAATGGAAATTCAAACAGGTTTGCCAGCCCCTTTGGATATGGTGGGGGCAGTGGAGGGAGTAGTTCTGTCTTAAACTCATCTGGTCGAAATATGTGGGGAAGTCTTAACTATGCTACTAACTCAACAAACTCTAGTGCTATTGTGGGCTCTCGAAGTGGGAATTTGGGTGTGAGTTCTTTTGGCAGCATCGGAGCTCTTTGGGATTCCTCTTGTACTTCAGCTCAAGGTGGAGGTGCTGCTTCTGCCTACAATAGCAGCAATCTTAGATATGGAAGTGGAGATTTTGGTGTTGGATCAGGAGGTATAGGCTATGGGAGAAACAGTGGGACCAGTATTGCACAGGTATCATCCCAAGGTGCTTCAAATGGTGGTTATGATGGGGCTCTGGCTGATATTTATGAAAATGGTTCATTTTATGGGGATTCCACATGGCGATCTTCGCCCTTAGACCTAGAGCGGTCTAGTCCTTTTGGTTTTGGGCTGGGAAATGCAACTTCAGATGTTATGACTAATAACTCTGCTGGTTACATTGGTGGTTATAGTGTTACCAATAGGCAGTCAAATAGAGGTAAGACTTGATTTCTTTTCTATTTTACTGTTTCATTATTCTCCTTTTCTTTTTCCTCAGATAATCTTGCTGTCTTCTTGTACTTATTAATGGCTCTGCATCTTTCATGATATAGAACAATGCAGAGAATGTACACTAGTTTTAGGCCAAAAGCATTTCTCATGTTACATAGTTTGCAGATGATTTGATTGAAGTAGATTTTTTTTTTCAGTTTCCATTTACTAAATAATTAAAACTGGTCTGAGAAATAATGCTTCCAAGGCAATTTCATTGTATTTTGACCATCTTAAGGATGCCACTCACTATACTTTTCAGAGCCTATCTTGCAACAACATTTAATTTCCCTTAATGTAAATAGTTGCAGTTTGCAGTTAATAGTACATGCCTTTTCTTAAATCTTGTGTACTTGCTATATCTATCCCTTGTTTTCCATGCATGTTAGACTGCATCACTATCCTGTATATTGAGTATAAGATTACTCTGCAAACCAGGTAAAACATTAATAATGGTGACTTGATATCTGTAGGCCCCTCCCCTTAAAGGATAGATGTCAACACCCATAGTAACAAAAACACTCTATTTATCAGTTATTAGTTGACAAACAGATCATGTTAATTTGGGTGCTTTCTTGTGGTACTTATTTTCTCTTGATTACCATCTTTTCCAGGAATTGCTGCATAGGAGGATGATGATATGATGTCAAAAGATAATTGTAGGAAATTTGTATGGTGTAGCGGGTTAATGACTGGATTTCTACATTTTCCTCAGATATTTCAGTTTTATATGAAAATGTGAGTAGAGCTAATTTGGTTCACCTGTTTTGATGAAATTGTTATAGAGATCAGTTATAAAGAATTCATGTAAGGTTTGAGCTTGAGGGTTTATTTTATTTTTTTTTTTTTCCTAATACAGGTTTTCTTTACTGGGATTGATTAAGATGTAAAATCAGATTGGGGTATACGCAGATTATTGTATCATGCATCTGTTGGCGACAGAGTGATACATACAAGAACTGACCTTTACTTTAGAGTTGTTTGATTTTCTGCTGTTATATCCAGTGAAGTTGCTGGGTTCTTGTATTCTGTATGAGATGTTTGGCTTGAATTTACATTGTGAAACTCTGAGGGAAGCTCTTTCGGGATCCCTGGAATAATATAGTAAGATACTACTAAATGTGATTCATTTTTACTGTAATTTCTTTCTTCATTTCTACTCCTAACCGGCTCAGCACATAACTTTGTTTTATTCTCATGTGTTGTCATCCACCGTGGCGCTGGAAATTTCAACAAAACTTACATTTTCATTAAAAGAAGAAAGAAAAAATTTCGACAAATCACAAAAATAGTGCTCATATGCAATCAAGTTTAAGTTCCCATTTTGAAAAAAGGTGTGTGTGGTCGGCCTCAAGAATAGGGAAGCAAGATCTTTGTTGGTCTATAATTGGATTGGGCCTTTCCTACTTTATTTATGGACGTACAATTGGATTGGGCCTTTCCTACTTTTTTTATAGAACTCTATCCTGTCATTCGGCCCTAAAATTTTGAGTCCAATATTTAAGAGGCGATGTGAGACGGAGACTTTGCATATGAAAGGAGATCTTGAATCATAACGCTCTCTTTCCTACAAAGTTTTTAGGTTAAGTCTTGGAGCTTGTGCTATAATTTTTATTCTTCAACACATTTGTGTTGAACAATATATTCAATTGCAAATTCTCAATGCAATTCGATCCAACCAAATTGACAAATTAGTTAAAATAAACTCATTTTCTTAACACCAATTTTGGCATTGCATGATTTATATTGTTGCCCAGCGAGAGGGCATTGGTGGAAATCAATACAAGAGCAGCAGGAAATAAAACCATGATTCCAAATCACTATCCACGTATTGTTTTTCCTACTCAAACTAAAGGTGCAGCCACTAGAGTCACAACTTGGCCTGAATCAGTCGTAAGTATATCACCAAGTGCACCGGATGAGTCATCTAAATTCCCTAAATGTGTGGTCATCTTGACCACTTATCCAAACTTTCTTAACAGGGGTTCTGCCAGAGTATTATAGTCACTTTCAACTTTCAAGGGTGCATCATCTACAACTCCCAAGAATAGGGAGTGGTCCTTTCTCGCTAGGAATTGGCCATAAATTCTCTTGTTATTTGGGAGATCTTTCCAACAGTTCACACAAAGAGGGCTACTGATTTCCATTTTGCGATGGAAGCAGTTTCACCAGTCTTGTAGACCAAAATTTAGACCTTTACTTACATTGACACTCTTACTCCTCACTTGCACTTTCGTATATATGCACACAACAGAAGAGCATTGTAAAGTGTAAACAGCTCATTCTTTCCAAGTTGTCGAAACATTTTCAAAGTGATAAGAAAAAAGAATAATTCAATTAAGAACTCAAACTGAATGTTGTCTGCAAACAGAATGCAAGAAAACTACCACAACAAGAGATTCTTCAAGTAAAATGATAGTATTTAAAAAAAAAAAAACAAAAAACACTAAACTCAAAACGTGGTTATTGTTTGAGTGGTAACTAACAGCTGGATGCAAGCATGATAACTGATAAAGCTTTATGTTCACTATCTAGAAGAATATATCAACTAAGCCAAAACCTCAATTACCTTGTTGTTTGTTCCAAGGTATTTCCTGTTGGAGGCATCACCAACCCTCCTTCAACATCCTTTCTTTTTCAAGAATGAACATTCCTTCGTTATATTTTTGGCTTTCATCATAAGCCTTCTCCTGCAAATATTATCATAAGCCATATTCACTTAGAATTTTATACCAATAAAATTCCCAAGAGAGATAATCTAATCTACGCATTACAGATATGACCATAAAGATAAAATGAAGCAAAGAAGAAATCACTGCTCCTCGTTCACCGAGTCCATGATAAGTCAGCCAACCACTTAATTCTTGTCCAGTCCCAAAGTTCACTAAGGTTTAAGGCTTTTGATTTTGTCATATCGGATAGAAGTCAGAATGCATGATCTTCGACCTAAAGGGACAAAAAAGAAAGTTATTTTTCTTCTAAAGTAAAAAAAAAACTAGTAGCCTTTGCAATATTTGAATCTAAAACAACCTAATTGGACCAGATGAATGCTATTGAATCACCCATAATTTGAAGTTTTCACTTTCAATGTAATCAATAACTCAATATAAACATGGGAGTCCACTTGGGAATACTAAGTGCAATTCAATTCCCATTGACATTTCTAGCTAAAATCGTGAAATTAAAATGACAAGTGTAGTATTAGAACAAGTACTAAAAGCTTACATATTTGCAACCCAGAATTTGCTGATAAGAGCTACAGTAAATGTCATTCACTTTGTGCAATCCGCTAGTCAACATTCGTTCTTCTGTCAGCCCCAAGCTTATATTTACTCTGCAGATATATACATACATACATACATACATACATACATATATATATATATATATATATATAGTACTCTTATCAATTCCCAGTTGAAAAATAAGCAAAGAGGAAGAGGTTAGAAAAAAAAAAGTTTACGCATTGCGGAAGAGATAAGCAGGCCAAAACGACCCTGGAATTCCTTTGAAACAATGTCGTCGTGGGAAGCAAAGTCCACCTTACAAAATTTCCACTTGAAGATCCTTGCCCCACTCAGTGTCTCTATGAATGGCCTTCCCATCCTAATTTCTTCGATTCTCTTTTGTCTTGATTGATTTGATTCCCTGTTATTCAATCCCTTTTCTTTTCACTCATCGATCACTTTCATCCAAAAACAAAACAAGAAAAAAAAACGATCACTCTTTCACCCTAACTATTCTTCATTCGGCTCAAAAATTCGGTGAATTTTCCAATTTATTAGCGTGCGGTGCTGTCCTGCTTTTGAGATTTTGGGGAGCGAGTTTGGTTCGGGTCCCATCTCGTAAATCCGACCTAAAAATCCTTTCAGACGGAAGCAATCGAGCTAGCGCCCAGTCTCGTCAGGGAAAGGGTATTTTCGCCATTCTAACTTGTAATGTTAAACTTTCGGATTACTCTAAATACAATAAATAAATAAATAAATAAAAAGCTTTTTACATCTCGTTACTAAATACACACAACATATAAAATATAAATAAATATTTTTACTCCGTACACCCCAGTCTAACATTTCACATTTCGCTCTGAATCCTTTACACTTCTCTCTTTTTCACTCTCAATTTTCTCTCTAATTTTAATCTAAATTTAATCCAAAATCATTAAACAAACCATTAAATCATAAATTTTTTTAGCATTTCATTCATTCCAGATAAGATTTTTAAATTATTGTTAATTAATTTGATTGATTTGTTAAGGTTTATAACATAGGGTTTAAGATTTTTCGATCAAATCGTATATTACAAAAAAGTATTTTTGTAAGTTTTTAAAGCTTACATAAATAAATTTTTGTAAGTTCGAAAGGTTTCTCAAATATTCATTTTCATAAACTCATAATTGAAATTTATTTTGTTTGTTGTTATTAAATTGTTGTTTTTTATACAATATCACAATAGATATCACTTGAACTTGAGGTGGAGAAGTTCGTACAAGGGTTAAAGGTTTTGACAAAGGTGATGGACATATTATAGCTGATCTTGGTCCAAGTTGAAGACATTCTATTGCTTTTGAGAGGAGACATCAAGTCAAGGAAGATAGTAAGCCAATTGAGGACCGTGCAAGAGATGATATTTCACGGGTTGAGCCTTTCACGCATAATGAGAAACTTGTCACCCATGAGCATCATGATAGGGATGGAGATGATAATGTAGAGCAAGTTTTTCAACAATTTTTTGAAAGTTTGATTGATACATCTATCCTTTGGAGTTTCAAATTTCATATTGCATTACAAATATAGAATTGTCAGGTAATCACTTGAATAATATAATACAATAAGATTAATTTATGGTTTTAAAGGGAATTAGTTGATTGTTGTTGTTGACAATATTATTTATGTTGTTGATCTTATTGTTATTGTTTTATTATTACTGTAAATATTTAATTTTGTTCAAAATATTTTATCATTTTAACTCAAGCTTGGTTTTGCAATTAGGCTTGATCTTTATTTTTATAGCTTAATAAGCAGCTCACTTTTAAATGTTTCGTACGAAATTCAATGTGAGCTTCATAATAAGACTCCGTTGCATGATCTTGAATAAATGCTCAAAATGATATAATAAATGCCCGTTCTTAAAAGCCCATTTATGATCCGGCCATTAAATAAAAAATAATAAAATAATATAAGATAATAAAATAATAAAGCTTGAAAAACCCAAATGAAATTATAAGCTAGGCAAATAAAAGAAGCCCCAATAAAATTCAAGGGAAAAACACATTGGGCTCTTGTTAAAGACCTAAGACATGGCCACAAATAGAAAGGGCCATGTGGCCTTTTGGATGTTTTTGCATGAAACCAACCCATGCAGGCAACATGTGAGAAAGTGAAGAAACTGTTGAAAACAAAACTGAAGAGTATGGCATGGACGTGGGACACTATGGCAAACTCCATGAGGTAATGGAGGCCAACGTGGGAAGCAAAGAAAAAAATGATGAAAATGAGAAAAGAGGGAACGTGAAAGGGAGGAAGGGGGCAGAGAACGGGCAAGGGAAACAAAAGAAGAGAAAGGAGCCCGGCGAAAGAACGTGGAATGGCATGAACTGGCAGCAAAGGAGGCCGGCTGCGGCAAAAAAAAGAAGGCAAAAAAATAAAAAATTGCAGCAGAAGGTGGCGACGGCAGTAAGCAAGGAACCAGCCGTAGAGAAGCCAGCAGACACCAAACAGAGGCAGGAGAATGTGAAACCCAAAAAAAAAAAAAAAAAAAGCGCAGCAAAAAAAAAAAAAACAGAAAAGGCGTGGAGAAAGAAGAAAAAGAAGAGCAGCAGAAAAAAAAACCAGAAAAGAAGGAAGAGGCGCGCAAGGAAGAGGCAACCAGTAGCTGGAACCAAAACCAGAAAAGCAGAGAGGCAGCAAACCAAAAAAATTAGAAAAGAAACGTGAAAAGCAGTAGCACTGGAAGCAGAAAGATTAGAGCAGGAAACGGAAAGGGCGTGAAAGGAGCAGGAAAGGACCTGGCAGCGTGGAGGTGAAAGGCAAACTGAAACCTTGATAGGAAAGAGAAAAAAACACGAAAAGGTATGGTGTGAAAGTTTGGAAAACATACGAAGAGTTGATAGTTTAGAATTGAGTATTTCATATTGAATAA